AAGACATAAAAAATATGCCTGTTAATGCCTATTAATAGGCAGGATTGTGCTCTATGAAAATAGAGTAAGTTAATCATTCTGGCATTAAATAATAGACACTGATTGGCCAGTTGCCTGATATTTTGCATTTCAAAGCATCTATTCCCCTCCTTAAAAATAAGAAGTGTAAGGATAAAGATCAGTTTAAAAAACTCTAAATTTTGTAAACCTCTAAATTAATAAAATATATTATCTGTAATAGAATAAAATATTTAAACTATTTTGTGAAATAACACAGTCCTTTCTAATCTATCTATCTATCTATCTCCAAACTAAATCTAAACACAAGTGACTTCCTGAAAAAAATCCATCAATTATGTAGGCAGAGAAATTGGATAGGTTTTTTCTGGGAAAAAAGAAATTCAGTAATAGTTTCAGAGAAGCAGGTGTAACAATTAATTGAAAAAGATTATTGATAGTGTCTTGAATGAAATATGAAAAACCAGGCTGAGCAGTGAGGAAAGACAGCATATTTCTCAAATATGAGAACAGTGAAATACAGACAACACCCTTGTATATATTTTGCCATCTGATAATCAAAAGCAAATGAGGAAAACACATTCTTTCTGGGATAATTCTTCAAAAATTATTTGCATTTGAAATAATTTCTAAGGCAAGTGCTTCACGAAACTGAAGCCTCCTTAAATCATTGAGAATTTTGGGTGGATAAGGTATTGCGTGGTATACCAACCATTCTTTTCAGATAAGTGAAATTACACTTTTCTGGCATCAGTTGTTCAAACATGGTCATAAAGTATATACAACCATAATGCATGACTAATAGTCTGCTCTTAAACTGTTGTATTAGAGGTTATGCAGGCTTCAACAATAAAAAATTCCTTAAAATAAAATATATTCAGCAGATGAGATGCTAGTTTTCTTTTGATTGCAGCTTTTTAAAAATATTGGCACTTTCCTTAATCATTTAGTATTCAGTTTAATCATTCACTGATGAATGATCAGTTATTTAAATATTCAATAGAATATTCAAGTAACTAGAATGAAACTAGACAATACAAAGATAAGAGATTCATATATAACCCCTTCTGATAGTTTTCAATTTGGCAAAATTCATAATGATTACTATTTATAGCATTTAATTACCATTAGTATCTGTAGGAGAGCTAAACTGAACTCAAATATTTTTTTTAAAAAAGATCATTTTTTTCAAGGTCACATAGGAAATCTTTTGAAAATCTGGATATGAAACTCAAAGAATAAAAATGTGGCATATAAAATGTTACTTGAAGCTATATTTCTTAATTATTTCTCATATTAAAATGTTGCAAAAGTAGGATGTAATCTTCTTACCTTTCATATTGATGAATGGCTTCTCAGTAGCACACAATAAAACAGTTTCTATTATAATGTGCAATACTTCAACCAGTGATCTAAAAAAAATGAAACCAAACTTTTTACTTGATTAACTGAATTTTGATTTTCTTTCTTTCTTTCTGGTAGTGATAATTTGTGATTAAAGGTATTTTAAAGGCCTAATATTGGGTAAAAGGTTGATTCTACAAAGCACAGACCACCTTCTATTGATTTTACTTTTAGTAAAATAAATTGAATTTGAAGACCTTAATCCTGTAGGAAAAGCAGAAAAAAAGCCCAAGAAATAAAATCACCAGAATTATTCAGATGTTTCTTTCATTTGATCTTATGTGAAGAAGTTCTACATTGAAATAAAACTGCTTACCAGATATTTTAGTTTTTGCTAGTTGAATAGCAGTTTGAAAAATGACAGAATGTAGAAAAAAAAATTCAGAATGTAGGAACATGTGTTTGGAACAGAATCCTTCATCAGCCTAAGATTCATTTGACTCTTAGAGGTGGGCGGGGTGATTGGTGAGCCAGCCAATCAGTGAGCGGCGGGTGGGACAAGCGTGGTGCAGATGGGCAGGGGGAGGGAACTGGAACCAGTTCTAAATGGCATGGGAGATTTGTGGAACCTTTTCTATAGAAGAGATTAGGACTGGCAGGAATACACCCCTGGAGTGGAAGGAATTAGGGCAGCAGTCCCCAACCTTTCCACCTTATTGGCCTGGCCAGGCACAGGTGTGGGTGTGGTTGGGTGAGAGAGAGAGAAAGTAGCAGATGCACACACACTGCACAGCTCCATTGGTGCAAGCAGAATGGCACATGTACTTGAACTCATCACTTCTGTGGCCCGGTTTCAAACAGGCTGCAGACTGGTAGTGAGCTGCGGTTCGGGGGTTGGGGAGTCCTGAATTAGAGAATCCATTTATTGCTACTGAATTTAAACCAGATCATATTTCATATTCCAATAATATTCAGTTCTTTGCATCAGAATCTCTTGGTTTGACTTGTGGATTGAGTGACTAGTGCAGCAATTCCATATAATATAATCTTGTAATAATATCTAGCAAAATCAAATTTCATATATATGTCTGTGTTTGACTTTATGACTAGTAAGACATTTACAAGTTTGGTATAGACATTTACAAAGCATAGAATTATGTAGCCAATAGACAGATAAATTGTTCCATGATTAATGCCTTCTCCTTATCTTATAGTCTGACACATAAAGCAGCACTTGTTTTATTCTGACAAGCACTAAGGACTGAACAACCAAAGGACTTTTGTTCAGCAAAAGCTAACCATCAGATTGCAAGAACAGAAACGAGAGGTCTGACAAGGAAACCCAAATTCATTGGTCACCTTACATTGCAATGAACATACATTCAATTCTGCAGCAACTAAGATTATTGGTTAATCAGGTACAGAGATAGCCAGGGAAATGATTGAAGCCTGGGAAACAGGTCCTTTATAAGTCAACAGAAATGCTGATTTACCACCAGCTGACCAAGTACTTAGGAGTGAGAATATGACAGTGCAAGGAAACAACAGCCAACAACTTAATGGCTTGTCCCAATCAACAAATAAAAAGCCACACAGAACCAGGCATCTATCCCAACATATACATTCTGGTAGAGAGAAGTTCCCTGAGGATGTGCTTCAGCATGTCCAAAAGCTTGGAAGACTAAATCTCTGGTACCAGTGACTGATCCAGAGCCTGCAGATTTATTTTTCTGATAATATATCATTTTATAATTTTGGCTAGCAAATATAGCCTGAACTAACCCAGTCATATCCCTCTCTCCTTTTAATGTGAGATTGAACTGAGTCCCAACAGTAGTCCTTAATTTCTATCCATTTATTTTATCCTAACAGCACAAAATCCTAGCACAGATGAATATGCATAATCAAACTGACTGATTTAATATAATATTTTTGTTATTTATATGTCTTTTATTGTTGTTTTTTGTTTTTGCTAAGACTACTGCTAAATATCTTTTGGATTGAAAACAAAATTAGGTTTTGTTCTAACTACAAGTAAAAATGTCTTGAGATATCACAATTTATGCCTTGTATTGAGTGAAAGCAGGATGTATGTTGAAGGATGCAGTGTGCTGTCAATTCATATTGAATCAAGTCAGGTTGTATCAGCAACATCCCTATCAGTAGTTATTCTTGAGTACAGTAAGTTTGACTTTAAGTAGATTTAGACAGCAAATTTTTCAGCTACAATAAATTTATATAATGAATGGTGCAAATCAACTTTTTAAAAGTCCCCTGAAAGCTCAGATGTTTTTATACCAGGCATGTGCATATTTCTATCATGGTCTCTTAATACAATCAAGTATTCATTCAGATTTTTTTTTAACTTTCAGTATAAAATATATATTAAATAATAGAACAATGTGTGTTTTGAAAATGATTTCTAAGAGCCATTTGAAAGAAATATAGCCCCTCTTTAAAGAGCTAATACTTCCCCTTCTTTTTCTCTTAATTTCCTTTTCTCTTCCCTGCAGCTTAAAACAAATCTAAAAGGTGTTTTAAAAGTCAACTTATTAAGACAGTTATGTCTTTAATGCAGCACTTTGATTTGGTCACATATTTTTAATTTCACAGGAAATCTGAGGAATGATACATATTGTTTAAAAATATATTGTACTTGTGTCCTTACACATTTGGTTTCATTTGTTCTGAGTAATTTTCTTAAATTATATGCCCTATTAAATGACCATAATAGTTGAGACAGCCAGAAATGTAAATTAAGATCTACATTCAATTTTTAAAATATTTCCTATATTTCCTATATTCCTTTTAACTTTTTATTTTTAGAACAATACAACAGAAATTTTAATAGTGAATTGAAACACTTTAAATTGCCTTTTATAGGATTTTAAAAATTTCATAGAACACTTAGGAATTCTGTTCCCATCATCTACCTTTTAAAAAAATGTTTTCTTAATTACTGCTATAAACTTACTTTGTTATATTCTGTAATTCAAAAATTATTATGTGATTGGTGTGAGTTATACATTCTCTGGATTTTCCTTTAATTTATTTAATGTAGGTTTTCATGGAAGAAAAAGAGAAGAATGAAATATGGCTATTTATATAAAATTGTAGATCATTTGGTTGCAAGATTTTTCCTGGGAGAGGAATTCTGCAGCTTATGGTTGTCCCAGCTGAAAGAGAATAATTGAAGAATATATATAGTGTTATTTATTTATTGAATAAATTTATTTAACTGCCCATCTCAAATATATGTATCTAATTCAGAGTTGCTTTTGATGAATCTCTTTTAAAAAAATAGTTTTACATAATGTTTTTAAAAGCCATATTCCATTTGAATAAGTTATATTTCTATTTTTTTTAAAAAAAAATCCCTACAGATAGAAAAGCCTCTGAGCAAATTTCATTATCATTACCATCCACTTGCAGTCAAATCATTTCCACTTCTTCCAATCGAACTTATAAAGTGTTGGAATTGGACTGCCTGATATTCACATTGTCAAAGCTCTCAAACACATTTTGAGATGTTAAGATTAACTGTTCCTTCCTATCAAGCTGATTATTAATATTGTCGCACTATAGAACTGAATTGCAGTGAGTAGCCTTATTCTTTCCTCTTTTATTCCCATTTTCAGCTGGTTAATAATCCTCTGGCAAGTCAAGCAGCCACTGCCGCAGCCGCCATGGGCTCAATAGCTAACTCACCAGCTTTTGGCAATGTACTCTCCAGTCTTCAAGGGGTCACAGGTCAACTAGTTACTAATGCACAAGGACAGGTGAGTGGAAGATGGATGGAAATAGTGAATTCAAATGGCATATTGAGTATTTCCAATGTTAATAATCTGAGACTGTACATATATGAAAGGGCATAGATATACAAGAGAACATTTTCAAAAAGTAGAACATTAAGATAAAGGTTTGAATTGAAGCTGTTATATTAAAGTATACCCTGAAAATCATTGGAACTTAAATCTCTGTGTTAGTGCTCATCCAATATTATTTTTAAAATTATTTTATTTTATTTTATTTATTAAATATATTTGCCGCCCATCTCCTTTTGAAGAGATTCCTGGCTACTTACAGCATTAAGAACATAAAACTATGAGATAAATATTTTTAAAAGGATAATAATTTAACATGACCATTTGCTTGATTTGGCCTTGCACCTACCTTTGCAAACGTATATATAGAATAACAGAGTTGGAAGGATCTTGGAGGTCTTCTAGTCCAATCCGCTGCTTAGGCAAGAAACCCTACACCACTTCAGACAAATGGTTATCCAACATCTTCTTAAAAACTTCGAGTTTTGGAGCATTCACAACTTCTGGAAGCAAGTTGTTCCACTGATTAATTGTTCTAACTCTCAGGAAATTTCTCCTCAGTTCTAAGTTGCTTCTCCCCTTGATTAGTTTCCACCCATTGCTTCTTGTCCTACCCTCAGGTGCTTTAGAGAATAGCATTACTCTCATTCTTTGTAGCAGCCCCTGAGATTTTGGAACACTGCTATCATGTCTCCCCTAGTCCCTCTTTTCATTAAACTAGACATACCCAGTTTCTGCAACCGTTCTTCATATGTTTNAGTCACTGTGACTTAGAATCTGGTAGCAACTACCTTGGCTTTAATTATTTTTTAAAAATTCTTTAAAATTCTTTCCTTTTCCTCATGACTGGTGAAGCCACGCCTCCCCTGCCTGGGTCATCCCATATCTGCACCCAGAACTGCACTGTTTCTTCCTTGTCAGATACTGACAGATTCACTGCAGTTTCTCCATTGATGGATTGGTAGAAACATTTGTGATTGGATTGAAATTGGAGATTCTGCTTATAATTTGCAATTTGAGATTCATATCTGCTGATCTTCTTGGCTATAGCTGTTATTTGCTGCTTTATTATTTCCAATGCTTCCTTGATCTTCCTTGTTTTTAAGTGGTATTTCTTGATTAGGTATTCTTTGGTCTTTTTACTCTTCAGCTTCTTTTCTTTCATCTGTTCTAGCTTGCTTGCAACTGATCTGAGCTTGCCGATCTTGTTTTCCTGTCTATTCTTCCATTTTTCTAGCACACTGTTTGGTTTTTTTCTTCTTTGTTGATTTTGCATCCCAGGTATTTAGTTATAATTGCAGCTGTGCTGTACATTAGTTGGTTTGTTTCTTGCAGTGAGTTGGTGCTTATAATTGATATTGCAGTATTTTCATCTTTTAATGCTTGTACTATTTATTTCTTCGGAACACACTTCAATGCAGCTTGTTTGGATGTTTTAGTGCTGTTCTTGATCCACAGTTATTTGTTGTTTTGATTCTTTTACTTCTTTAGTTAGAGGGCTTTGTTCTTCTTGAGGAAGAAGAGATGGTGCCTGGTTTCTAAATGAAAACAATTGTATATCTTTGCTGGATTCCTCTACTGCCAATTCTCCCTGGTTTGCATCTACATTTTGAATTATTTCTGGCAAGGCTTTCTTTGCCCTGGGTAAACCTTTGCAGTTCTTCCAATTCTGTGTCTATGAGTACTTTATTTTGTATCTGCTAGCCTCTGTTATATTATTTCTGATTCTAGATGTTGTTTTAACAGAACTGGTGCATTCATTTCAAATATCCTCTTGTTGTTGTACTTGTAATGACAAGTCATTATTTCTTTGTTTTCAATCACTGTATATTTGTGACAACTAAACATCTTTTCTTCCAGTATTCTGCAACTGCTGGCCCTGGTTGCTCAGCCAACAGTTCTAAGTCCTTTTTTTTCATCAGATATCCAGAAACTCCAACATCTGATGTGGACTTATTAAACCAGATGACATCCGAGCCAGTATGGCTTTCTGAAATTTACGTCTCATGATATTTTTTGTATGGGAAAAACACTCTTTGACTAACTCCTCTGATGAGACCTGTCCAGTATGGTTGAACCTCTGGCAAAGCTCTCATCCTCCTCAGAGTATACAAGCCCCACAACCACATCAAGGTAGTGCCTTACTGGGGTTTATTATTAATTATTTATTAATAAAATCAATATCTTCCTTACTACACCTTCTTATTGGGATGATGATGATGATGATGATGATGATGATGATGATGATGATGATGATGATGATGATGATTCTGTTGTTTTGTCTCCAGAGCTTCTGCACTGGAGACAAATTCCTTATATGCTAATCATACTTGGCCAAATAAAGTATTCCTATTCTGTTCTGCTCTATGCTATTCTATTCTACTCCTCTATCTATTCATTGTTAGCCTCATCTAGCAGCTTATTTAGACAGAGTGAATCTTTATACTAGGCAGATAAGTCTTTACATAATCTATACACCCAGTAAAATATTTTCAACCCTGCTAAGTACTAAGAAATATAGAATATCCTTGGTAAAAAGAAAAGAAGGATTGAATGCTTTCAATGGAAATATCTTTACTGAAATCTTTATCTTGAAATGATGCACTCCTTCCTCAAGATAGTTGTTCTACCTGATAGCAAAGAGAATGGGACAAAAATATTTTTGGGTTTCTGTTTAGGTATTAAAGCATTAATTAATTAATTTGGTTTCAAGGGAATATATTTGCTTCCTGACAGCCAATGGTTTATTTCTTGTAAACTGCCTTGAGTTGCCATGTGCGAATAAGCGGCAATATAAATTTCCTAAATAACGAGAATAAATATTTCATTGTGCACAAGCCCAAATCATGCTTATGTCCAAGACATAATAAACTGGATATTAATATACATATGTAATGCTCGTTTAACATAGTTAAATGAGCTTGTTTAACATATTTTAACAAGCTCGTTTAACATATTTTAACGAGCTCGTTTAACATAGTCAGTATTTACCAGTATTTAGCCAGGAAATATTGTTGGTGGGGTACTTCATTTACTTTTCCATAATTCCAAATAATATTAAACATGTTAATAATAATAATTCTTTATTGCCAGTGCACAACATATGTACAATGAGATTGGTTGAGCTCCCTCAGTGCATTCCCCCCCCAACACAATACAACTCACAGTAAAGACAAAGAAAAACAAATATCCCTAACCCCATAAATCATATTAACAAACACACAGTCCCATTACACCAGTGTGAACATGTTACATGTTGCGCCAGCCCTGTAAGTCTAACGTAGTTATGATATTACTTCGCATTCAGAAATATGACAGCCCATGGATAAAAACTGTTCTTCAGCCTGTTTGTGTGGCTGGCTATGCTTCTCTATCTCCTTCCTGGTAGTAGGAGAGTGAAGAAGTGCTGACCAGGGTGTGAGTGGTCCCTGATGATTTTCCTCACTCTTCTAAGGCAGCAAGCCCTAGCGATCTCATCTAGTGGTATCAGGGGGCAGCCCACGTTGTTTTGTGCTGTGCTCATCACCCTCTGTAATGTTTTTCTATCTGCGACTGTCAAACCAGCATGCCATACTGTGATGCAATAAATGAGGACACTTTTTTTTTTAATTCAATGTTTTTTAATTTTTAATTTAAAACAAATACAACATCCTTCTTTACATGCTATAGAAAGTGTATCAGTTGGTTACAAAAAGACTTTNGTTGAGTGCGGTTGGTCAACCAGTTATGAATCCATCTGGTAGTGATGCTGTCTAACACATATTTTTCTACTTTATCTAGTAGTAGGTTATGGTCTGCGTTGTAAAATGTCTTACTGACGTCCAAATAAATTATATCAACAGTATTTCCCTGGTCCACTAATTTTGTCACTTTGTCAAGGAATGCAATAAGATTAGTCTGACATGATTTCTTTTTGACAAGCCCATGTTGGCTTTTGGTTATTACTGTATTTTTCAGAGCATAAGACACACCTTTTTCCCTCAAAAAAGACGCTGAAAATCTGTGTGCATCTTACACTGAATACAGCATTTTTTTGCCTCCCAAAATCCCACCCCTTCACCAAAATGGCCTTTAGGAGGCTTTCAAGGTGCTCCTGGGGGCTGGGGAGGGCAGAAATGAGCAAAAAACAGGCCATCTGTTGCTTAATTTTCCCTCCCCAGTCCCCAGGAGCACTCTATAAGCTTCCTAAAGGCTATGCATGCCCTTTTTTGACAAAAAAATGAGCCTGTTTTTGCTAAAAAATGGGCCGCTTTTTGCTCATTTGGGGAGGGTCACCCCCCAGGAGCACTCTACAAGCCTCCTAAAGGCTATTCATGCCCTTTCTTGGAAAAAAACAGGCCTGTTTTCATGAAAAACAGGCCATTTTTGGGAGGTCTGCAGAGTGCAAAAACTTTTTTTAAATTTGCCTCTTCAAAATCTTGGTGCGTCTTATACTCCGGTACTTTGTTTGCTCCTGATTTGTTGCTTGATTATCTTTTCCAGAATCTTCCCTGGTATTGAGGTCAAGTGATAGGTCTGTAGTTTCCTAACTCTATTTTTTTTCCCTTTTTGAAGATGGGAACTATATCAGCTCTTTTTCAATCTTCTGCCAGTTCCTTCAGAACCTTGAGCATATCTTGAGCATTTCTTCAGTTCAGTTCTTATTCTATACACTGATCATTTAATATCAATAGAATTAACAAGCCTCCTTTATTCATTTGGGAAGATTGATACCACAAAATAATGTTTAATTTTAACATTTCATATTGTACTAAATTCCATTTTTATAATGAGGGCTGAGTGATTCTTCTGAGAATGATTAAAGCAACGTTCACAGTTTAATGTTATTACAGGTAAAGCGTGACTTACAACAGTTCATTTAATAACCATTCAAAATTACAATGGCATTGAAAAAAGTAACTTATGACTATTTTTCACACTTGCTACTGTTGCAGCTTCTCCTTGGTCACATGATC